CAATTATTTACCTGGAGCACCATGGTTCCATCCCTTATTTTATACACTCAGTTGTAATCCAGCATTTACTTTGTTGCCCATCTGTTCCAGTTTGGGTCACAGGAGCTACCCATTTTCTTATGAATTTGTCGCTCCTGAACTCTTACGGCTTTTTACTTGCTCTTCAAGATTCAGTTGAGATTTTTATGTTCTGTAGGAAAAAAACTTCCTGCCAACCACCCCTAACCCTTCATCCATCTTCCACTACTCTAGGTTGTTCTCCCCATGTAACAAAGCTCACGTCTACCATGATAGTTGGCTAATTACCTGTCTCTCTCACTGGCCAAGTTGCTGGAGGATAAGGATATTTTTAACTACCCCTAAAATGTAGGCCACACTTCTCAAGGAAAATGGGAATTCAACAAATCTTTCTAGAATTCAAGAGTCTATAATTACCTAACACATTAAGCAGAGGCCATCTATAAGCTGACAGCTAACTGCTCTGGGAGAAGTGCAAGGTGGAAGCCTTGAAACATAATGGGCTCAGGATAAGCAGCTAATATCAGTTACATTTGCAAAATTACATTAAGGGCAATGACCAATTACCTTTATATTTAGAACAAGGGCTACATGGCTCTAGGTTTGCTTAGCTTCAATGGTGCCCCAGAATAGCTCATGAGCACTGTCACTGTATTAGTCACTTTTCTGTTGCTGTGATAGAAACACTGACCCAAGCAATTTATAGAAGGAAGAATTTATTTGACCTTATGGTTCCAGGGGAATTACAGTCTGTCTTGGTGGGGAGGGATAGTGGCAGAGGTGGCTGGAGAAGAGGAGTGGAAGCTAAGCTCTACATCTTCCAGCAGGCACAGGAAACAAGAGAGTGACTGGAGATCTGGCAAGGCTTCAGAACTCTCTAAGCCCACCCCCGGCGATGTGCTTCCTCCAGGATAGCCACACTTTCTCAAACCTCCCCAAACAGTGCAATCATCTGGGGACAAAATGTCCAACCACTTGGAGCCTGTGGGGGACATTTTCATTCAAACCATCAGTCACCAAGAGATACCCAAGCGGCTTACTGCTAGTTGGAGACTAGGGATCAGCTAATCACTTAAGAAATAAACTTGCTGAGGTACATTATTTTTTGTCAGAACTTATTAAAAGATAAATGACTTTAAAAATTAGCCAAGAATCTGGGGATGGAGAGATGGCTCAGCAGTTAAGAGCACTGGCTGCTCTTGCAGAGGACCTGGATTCATTTCCCAGCACCCACATGGCAGCTGATAACTGTAACTCCAGTTCCAGGGGAATCTGACACTCTCTTCTGATCTCTGTGGGCATTGCACAACACGGGCGCCCTTACACACATGCAGGCAATATACCCATACAAATAAAAATAAAAATAATTGTAAAAAGTTAACCAAGAATCTTCCAAGACATAGAATTAAGAATGTGGTGAACTCCACTAGCTGAAGGGTGGCTAATGTTATTAGCTTTACTGCAAGCTTCCATTAACTCTTAACTAATTCCTAACTACACTTTTGATTCCATTGATCTATTCACCATACATTAGATCATGCCATTCCCTTTAACCACATTACAACAAAATTCACATTCCCAGTCATGTCTCAGAAAGTTCCATTGCTTTGGGGTCCTCTATTCAAACTTATCCCATATTTCTCTCTTCCTTGGCCACTAATAGTCCAAAGAGACTAATCTTTCTAAAAGTTGTAGCTTAGTTCCATAATTGTTTCCCCTGGTTTCTTGAGACAGGGTCTTAGGCAGATAGCCCAGGCTGGCCTAGAATTTGGTATGTAGCTGAGGATTTGCTTTTACCTCCCAAGAGCTAGGATTATAGACACTTGCCACCAACACGTGGCTTTAATCCCTTAACTTTTTTGATGATTAGTAGGTAAATTTTTTTTTAACAATAACTTTATAAAGTGCTTCAGTCTTTAATGTTTTCCATGCATGAGTTGTGTGCCTGGGAATAAAAACAAACTCTGTGAGAAGCCCCTATAAATCTACTGAAATAAAGATTAAATTGAAACATATCTTGACGAGTTATTTTTGAGTAAGAAGTATTTTTGGTGTTAAAATGTAAATGTGCTCAAATCATAACTTAAGTGGTACATTTTTACAAGGAACAGTTATTAATTTGATCTTGACACCCTGCAGAAACTAACTCAAACTTAAAAATAGCTATACTATTTTCAAGAAAAGCCTAGAAAATTTTTAAGCGAAGGGGCTAGGAATGTACTTCAGTTGATAAATGGCTTGCCTAGCATTCACAAAGCCCTAGGTTTGATCCCCAGCACTCCAGCAGTACATAAAGCTGGGTACGTAGGCACATGCTTATAAATCCTAGCTCTCCAGAAGTACAGACAGGAGGGTCAGATATTCAAGGTTATCCTTGGCTACACAGTGAATTTGAGCCTGGCCTGGACTACATGATACTTTGATGAAAAAAAATTTTTTTAAAAAATGAAGCACTGTTTTAAAAATACTTTATTATTTTAATGTGTATGACTGTATTTCCTGCATGTAAGAGCTCAAAAACATATTTAAGCCAAATATCTTACTGTATTCCTTCTAAACATGGAAATTAACATGACCAACCCCATGATAGAGCTTGAAATAAAATACACACATATACACACACACACACACACACACGCTAGGACACATAAATAAAAATAAAAAGCCCTACAATAATTCCATTCCATTTAAAATGCATTTAAGGTGGCACTCTCTGCTTTGGACTTTGAAGAGTTGCAGGACATACATCCCTAAGTGAAGAATCTACATTAGCATATTCTTCCTACACAAAAGGTCATTCATTCACCTTGAAAACAATAGCCTTCATATCACTGGTGGCAGAAGGTATGATACAAGCCTTTTCTCTCAGATTTGAGATCAAAAGTTTAGCAGGTTTCATTTAATTATCAATTAATTAAAAAAATTTTTTTTTGTTTTGTTTGTTTGAGACAGGGTCTCTCTGTAGCCCCAGCTGTCCTGGAACTCTCTATGTAGATCAGGCTGGCCTTGAACTCACAAAGATCCACCTGCTTCTGCCTCCCAAGTACTGGGATTAAAGGTGTATGCCACTATGCCCAGCTAATTTTAAGAAAAATTTTATGTGTATGAGTCTTTTGCCTGCATGTAAGGACACTTGTGTCATGCGATGCTTGCAGAGGTCAGAAGACAGCATTGGATTCCCTGAAACTGGAATTACAGACGGTTGTTAGCCACCGTGTGGGTGCTGGGAACTGAACCCGGGTCCTCTGCAAGAGGCACCCCTTCAGCCCCCTAAAGTTTAGCAGGTTTTAAATTTCAGAGTAAGAAACAATTCTCTTAAAGCTGTGGAAGCTAATAAATTCCACAGAAGTTTGAGGAAAACGTGTTTGGTGCTAAAACCAGACCTGAATCCCTGTAAGATTATTTTTAGCGTTTACTAACATCATATAATGTGAACATTCATATGCTTTGCTGCAGAAGTGTGTGTAGGAGCATGAATTACTGCCTTAGTTCTGCTGGGTGGGGGCTGCTATTCAATATAGTTATATGTACTCTGTTCATTTTCTGATATTCAAAAGATTCTAAGTTCCAAGATACACCTAGCTTCAATAATTTCAGATAATAAGATGTGAACTTACTGTAGGCTTCAGTAACCTTAAGCTGAGGATCCATGAGATGTTCTGAGTATATTCGTCATGCATATCTTTACCCAACCAATCAAACACTGCGAGTATTTTATGAAATGTGGAATTTTGTTTGAATCATTTGCTGAAAATTGTTCAGACTTTAGCAGTAGCTCTTTCTGTTACTTTTGCTTGACCTGATGCTCTACTAATTTCTTATCTTTTACAATTTGAAAATGATTTATAACACTAGACAATTTAAGAGGTTATATGGCTTGGAAACTAGGGTAATAGAGCTTGCAAAAGCCTTCTAATTCAGAGGTTGACAAATGATGAGCTGCAGGCAAAATCTGCAACTACCTATTTTCCAGACATACTCACTTGTTCATGTTATCTATGCTTACTTTCTTGCTGTCCTGGCAGAACTGAGTAGTTTTAGCAGAAACCATATGGCCAGAAAAACCTGAAATATTTCCTATCTGTCCCTTTACAGAAAAGATTTTCTGACCCTTGTTCCAAATCATTGTTCTGTCCTGGATGGAACTAATAGTACCGACATACTAAACAAAAGTTGAATTGGCCTACATCTAAGGCTTACTGATGTCTGCAGACAGACTGTGTCATTCTCTTTCTGTTTGAATATGGTCTCAACAGGTCAAACTTTTAGATCTAAGGTTAGATTCAGAGGGATTATGATACTACCAGATGTGAATGTTGCTAAGGAATAAAAATAGGAATTCTTAATCTCTTCTACTGTAAATACTCAGTTCACTGGAAGGAATCTATACATTTTATGTTTTGTTCATGTGGATATACATAATTTCAAAGGGGATGGAAAACATAGCTTTAAAATCATTCACCAGTACATTTTTAAAAAGCTTATTTGTTTCTACATGAATAAGTGTTTTGCCTCTATGTATGTATATGTACCACATGAGCACATGCCTGGTGCTCATGGAGGCCAGAAAAGGGTGTTGGATCTCCTGGAACTGGAGTTACAGATAACTGTGAGCCTCTACATGGGTGCTGAACTGAGCCATAAATGCTCTTAACTGCTGAGCCATCTCTCCAGACCCAATCAGTAAATAAAAATGTTTTTTTTAAAATCTGTACCAGTGTTCTGCTTGCATGTATGTTAGTGCATCCATGCATACAATGGCCACAGAGGCCAGAAGAAGGCATTGAATCCCCTGGAACTGAAGGTACAAAGTGTTAGCTGCCACGTGGGTGCTGGGAGCTGAACATGGGTCCTCTGCAAGGGCAATCAGTGCTCTTAACCACTGAGATTCTCTAATCCCCAGTACATTTTTCTATAGCGCATGTGTATTACTTCTTCAAGAGTTATCTTGCCACATTTAACAAAGACTTTCCCAGCTTAGCTGTGGCTCAATAAACTTTTATTACTTTTTGTTATTTTATTTAAAAGAATGTTTCCCTATCACAAAAATTAGATAGTCACACCACCAGCAGCAGCAAAGTCCATAGTTACATTGATGGCCGAGTCTGCTGGGTATTCCCCACATCCCAAAGGTCTTAAGGGAGGAAAAGAAGAAAAAAAAAAAAAAAAAAAAAAAAAAAAAAAAAAAAAAAAAAA